TCGGCGGACGACTGCAGCCAAACAGCCAAAGTGGCAGTAAAAGCAGTAAAACGCGACGACGACGACCTTCCGTTTGCAGACGAATAAAATTTTATTGTGCATATTATTCGTGCATTTTGCGTCAGGCAGTATCGCGGCGAGGCACAACAACGTTGACTAGTGCCTGCAAGGTGCATGTGCGTTGCGTCTTAATTTGCGATTGTGCGCGATTCTGGGTCAATTGAGTACCCTTCAGAGTGGTGCTGAGGTCGACCGACCAATTGCTCTGCTCGCCTTGCTTGCCTCGCTTCGTCTCGCCCGGTCGTGTCTCTTGATGTTGGCCGGCAACAACGGCGACGACGACGACCGAACACGCGCTTCACCTTCTCCATGCTAATCTCGTCTCCCGTTTTCGGAGAATTTCTTGGTCCCCAACACTCTCTTGGCGTCAGTTTCGTTCCGTCACAGAAAACCGAGGACCGAACAGACGAAAAGTGGAAATCGCAGAAGAGAGGGAATTTTCTTCACCATAAAATTCAGCGCTGTTCTGGTCATCCCTCTCATCCCCCCTAGCCGCTGCCACCGGCTCCAACTCGTCACTCCTCGCCCTGCTGGACGACCGATCGAGCATCTGCAGGTCACAAACTAACAAAAGCTATTTCTTTCTTTCGATGGCTTTTGGTTCCTTGAGAAATCTGCAAAGGACGTTTTATCGTTTGCTCAATCTCGTTTGCTTGTTTGCAGCTCCCACAGTGTCGCAGGATATCCAGGTCGTCTTCAAGTCTGACTCGGAAATGCGTATCAAGTGGAAACCCGTTCTTCATTATCCGGTGCAACATTACGAGGTGCGTATGTCTTAAACGTAATCAAATTGATGAACCGGGTTTTATCGTTTGAACCGTAATGTTCACTTAATGTGCTTTGCAGAGTATGGTTGCAGTTTTCATAGCGTCGGACAATGATGAGAGGAGGAGGTGCTGTCTTCGTGTTACCCGATTGACTCTGCTATTCTTCCTATGACTCTGGGGAAAACTTAAAGAGTTGGTCATTAGCTATTATGCAGCTAACAGTAAAATGAAAGGAATCAACAATGCATATTCATTGAAAGATGGAAACAAGAAGGAAATAGGCACTAGAGCAGCTGTGAATGATCGTCGTTTCGCGACGAATCAGCTGCTCAGTATTTAGTGATGTACAACACAGCAGGTTTTGACACGATTCCGCTAAGATAAGTAGCGAGACAACGATAGCTACCGTCTTTTGCCCTGATGTGGTCTAATCATGCTTATGCCATTTGCCATAACAAGCTTTGTCCACAGATTGCATTGCCGAACTACATTATGCCATTTATCTCCTTCACCAGCGCTTATTCAAAGAACGTGGAAACAAGGCGAATGACTAGTGCAAGAAGAAGCAGCACTGAAATCTGTTGAACACAACTTACATGGCCCTTCACTGTTCATTACGAGACGTTGTGTGTTCATTTTTCTTTCAGAGTCTACAGTATTAACAAATAAAGACTACGCGTTTACCGTAATGAAAATAAGCTTGACTTTATCTAATTGTTTTCTGAATTTGTTGTTCATTTTCACTGGTTCACAAAACAGTACGAGTGCCAACAAACTAGGCTCAGTTCATTTCCGCAGCAAGCAATTGGCTACCTTACAATGAGGCGAAAACAACGGAACCATAGCGTATATTTGATGGAACAGAGCTAATTTATGATAGATAATCATACGATTAGAAACCTTATTGTAAGGCTTTACCGATGCAGGTTGAATGCCAAAAATGCAACGTTCTGAAACCCATCACTCTCTTGATTAGTTTTCTATACGTTTATTAATTTTTTGCTTACCATACGAAGCCTGAAATTCTCTCGTTTCAGGTGCTGCTGTCGGAGCAGACGAATCAATTCGAAGCGCTGCACGTGCTTCGTGCTCAAGTACCTGCCGACGAGAACAGTTTCCTGTTCAGAGACTTGAAGGCGATGACGTCGTACAATATAGGCGTGATCGCCTTTGTGAACCACGAGCCGCGGGTCATCTACCACATTTCGCCTGAAACATCTGGTCGTCGAGTCCAGCACTGGCGACTGCCGGCGAACGCCTATGCGAGGGAGGTCGGCAAGTTCAGCGTGCACTGGTCGAAACCGGCTGACCTGATCAACCAAAATATCAAAGGATTTTATATCGAGTATCGTCTGAAGAACGAAACCGGGTAGAGTTGTTTACTTCGATAGTCGATAGTGACGTTCACAGTGAAAGACCAAGCGCATTTTATGACCTTGATAATTACATAATGTAATGCTGCAGGTCCATCTTGATTCGCGTTACTCTCCGCCAAACGACTTTTAAATGGTGCCCGCTCGGATGTCGCTCTCCTTCCTATATGTTGTGACGTTTCGGAACACCTTTCCTTATGAAGCTTCTGACGCACTGCTGATCTAACCCAGATATTGTCTCTAAGAATGCCATTTTTCGAACATGATCTCTAGACTTTTTCTATGTACTGATAGTCTGAATCCAAGGGACTAAGCATAATAACGAAAATATCCTGCAAAATGTAACGTGGGAAGCCGCCTGCTGCCCCCCCCCGAAAAAAAACAATGTTCGCCCAGATTTGGACCTAAAC